GGTGGGATGGGGAGACATGCCGTGTGCATGCTTCTGTGCATGTGCATGCTGCTAGTTTAGTGCGTGACCTGGACAGGATCCCCTCGGGGTTACAGACACGAGTCTCGTTAAACACAATAACCAACCAACCAGCTCCACGTCCGTTGGATTCGTGCATGTTTTTCACACTCCACCTGTTCTCGTGAACACTCGTCCTGTGGGCATTCGTGTGGCATTATTAAATTAACATCTCCACAGCGGGGCCGGCGGGCCCCGGCACGAGTCAGATGGATTTTGTCCCTGAGGGGTTGAACGAATCTTACGAGCCTGATAGCGATGTGGTCCATTGTGTACGTTAATGCAGAAAAGACGCAGACTCTCGAGAAGGTGACTGATCGGATGGAGTGGCATGACAAACATCTCCGTTTGCAAAAACCGTTATCGCCGCCTGTCAAAAACTCGATGAAGAGACCTCACCTGTTGTCGTACAAGCCTACTGGTGCAGCCGTGCTATTTGAAAGGACGCAAGTGATAATGATGGATGGTGCACTGCATTCGGTCAGGCAGATGGTAGGTAGATGCCTTATGTCAGGGGATGCCTGGGAAGGTCAGCCAATCTTTGCATTTTTTGGTGTCTCAATATGTCTCAACTATTGGAATTTAAGACTGGTTCTGGACTGGTTCCACTCAGTCTCTGCCCAAAAAAACGCAAGAAATTCCTTTTTTCTCTAAAGCCCGTTCCTTTGTTTGCAATGCGGCTGCAACAAATGAGACACAAATGTTTAAGGCATGTCCACTGTGCTCATCATCTTCTCCCACTAGTCTCGTTGCTGCTCTCTTCCTTCCCGTTCCAGTAGCTGCAACGTATACATAATGGGGTCATCGTCTCTCACTAGTTCGTGTCCTTCTCACAACTGGACCACGCAGGGCGCCTCGTTGAAGGCTCTCTCTTCGACTTTTCGGGTTGTCACTTTGATTCTTTGGGAGTCTGCTGAGTCGTTTGCAACTAGGCATGCACACATGTTGTTGTTTATCGTGTGCTTTCTGTCAGTGTTTGCAGTTCATCATCAGCGTGTCTTTTCCGTCGAATGCAGAAAAACGCTGCAGATATGCCTGTGTGTGCGGAGAAGAGAGAAGCGTCGCCTGTGTGTGCAGTTAAGCTTGTTTGTGGACACAGACCTAAGATTGAGAGGGCAGCCAGAGAGAGGGCCAAAACGCTGCCAAGGAAGACGTTCGTATACCGCGTAAAGAACGCTGACGACGACAAGAGAAACACCGAGAAGACTCAACATTTTGATGGTTTGACGGTCCTCACGTTTGCTCGCTTCATCACACTGTCCGTTGTGCAATCGGTACGTGAGGCTTTTGGAATTGCCCTGATTGGACACAAAGGTGCATCCTCGCCGGCTCTATTGTGCTGAAGTGGATAATGTCACCTTGCAACTGATGCATCGGGCCATGGAAGTGCACCTGGCGCAGAATCTAGGACATGCTGCCCGGACAACACACACAATACATACAGAGATGACAACCAAGTGATAGACGCAGGTGTGCGACGGCGAGCGCTCGTCAAAATACAGACTGACTGACTGCAAAAGGTCTGTCACCTCGAGTCTTCACCTTTGCACGTTCCTTCATCAGGAAAGAAGCCATTTGAGCAGTACTGCACGCATTTGCTTTGAGTGTCATCGAAATACATGCCGGCAATGCACCCTGTTGACACTCACACATCTGCAAGAGAAGCCTTAGCCCTTGTTTTGTACCTGGCCGCGACGCCTCGATGTTGTAGTATCCATGACTAGCCCCTGCCTATTGGAGACAAATGCGCTGGCTCAGTCTTCTTTTTCTGTTCCCCACCGTCCGCCGATGTCACGCGAATATCAATTCCCCGCTTTGACTTCATCGGTACAGGGAAGCGAAAAACGACCCCGGCATGATTCGACTCTCCAGCCATAATATCCGACTTGACAGGGTACATCGAAAGCGCATCAGTCAGCATTCGTGGCTCTGACAGCTTAGAGCTCTCCTCAGTGCTTAATCCGTTGACGGCACCTGAAGATAAACAGCATAATTGGCACATGGCTCGCCGTAGGTGTTCCTGTCTGTACCTGCAGTCGCGTATACCAACTGGCCGATGTCTGCTGGCTGGCAATGAAGCACTGCCTCCTCCTCACTAACAGACAGATGAAGGATGTAGTCGGACTGGTCCGCCCTGAAGGGTGGCTGCAGGGACGGTCCATCGACGTCTATCGACGTCAGCTGCACAATGTTACCAGCTGCACAAAATCAAAACAATATACGCCCGTCTCAAGCAGTCATGTCTTACGGGCGCGACTGATGAGGACCGAATACTCCGTCTGGTCCTTCCCGTTCTTTTGCCTGACCTGTACACCAAACCTGACCAGCCCTCCTTCTTTAATCGGCCACCTGCCATCGTACAACCAGCCCTCGGTCCCTCGCATCGCACCTTTGTTGTTCTTACTCCCTTTCCCGGTCCATGAGTGCGATGGTCTGCTTCTTTCTGCTACAGTCGCCCTTGTCAGTGCAGATGTACACCTCGCCAATCTCGTCATGTGTCGCATCAGTGACTTCAGCCATCACCGTGAAAGTGTCCTCCCGCCATGACAGCCTTGCCTCATATTCATGGCGAGAAGGGGTGAAGGCAGGTTGAATGTCCACAGGAGTGTCGCCCGCACCCGACCGATGGATGACATAGAGGTGGCTGAGGGAGGGGGCTCCGACGGCACAACCCACAATCACTGACGCGACGCTGAGGGCCGCGAACATCGGTGCTCCCTGTACAGAAACCCAGACAGGGACGCCCCACAGAAACCAGCTGCGGGCACCGGGCCTTTGCAATGGAAAACCGAGTTTCGAAGGTGGGTAGCCGGGCCTCTGACGCCTGCTGAGTGCTCCCTGATGACTCCTGAGTTCCGTGCCCGTACTCCTGAGTTCCGTGCCGGGCCACTTCAAGTTTACATGCAATTGTTTACATGAGTAGGAGCGACACGAAAAATAGAAACTGCCCCCTATCTTCTCCCCGTGTCTCCCCGGTATCTCTGTGGATTTCGGCCACCGTCTATCCGAGACCACTCGGCATGTGCGGGCGACGCCCTCCTGGCACAATGTCGCGGCTGATTGATGTACATACGTGGGATATCTTCTGGCGGGTCCCGTGCACATGTGAGTGCGTTTCCATCCATATTGCGATGACGCCAGCAAGAGAGCCACACGATTCGACGAACGTGTCGCACCTATGCATGTTGTGTCATTCGCGACACCCACATCATCCAATCAGCATACGTGGACCATATATAATTGCCACCTGACGCACCATCAACGTATCGAATGGACGAATTACATACCTACCAATACACGAAACCAGCCCTTACGGTCAACTGTCTGTCTGTCTTTCTGTCCGTCGACTGCACCATCACGACGCTCGGGAAGGGGTGGGCGCTTCGATGGACGGGGATGCACCCATCCGTCAGAAAAGGGTCGCACCTGCAAGAGCGATGGGGGAAAGAACAGCAGTACGAAGGCATGCAGGTCGTCTTCACGACTGACTGAGTAACTTACCTTGTTCTTTCTCCTTTTGTCAGAGGAGTATGGGTGTGCAAGTGTACAAACAAGGAGTGAAACAAACAATGAGTGATACGATGGCTGACGGTTCATTGGCTGACCTTGACAAACATCTCGAAGTACTGGTAGATGATCGTCACCGCCAACAAGATGCCTACACACCACACATGTACACGCACACCTATACATGGACTTGCACACCCTGCACTGCGGTACACTGTGCACCAGACCTGTTCCCGATCCGATGGCGCCGAGGAAGTCAGCCACGATGGTCAGCGCCCCGATGCACATCCCGCCAAACGCCGCAGCTGTCGGAATATACCTACACACACAAAGACAGACAGACAGACAGGCACAACAGTAGTAGAAACACGTTGGAAGTGCGCCCGGCGTTTGTCAGACAGATGGATCGTACCTGTTGAGTACTTGGACGAGTGAGGAGTCTCTGTGTCCTTTCATGACCATCTGTTGGTCCCGCAGCTGCTTGGCCACGTCACGGGCTGACGAACCGCTCACCTCTATCCATGTCTGATGGATGCATCCATGGCACATGACAGGCAGCCAACAAGGCCACAAAGAGAACATGGTCATGTTTGGCTGACTGCATGCCTGGTTGGCTGACCTTCGAGAACAGCGCGCACGACACGAGAACGAATGCGATGTACACAAAGGCATGCACTGGGTCATCCACTGAGTGATCGATAAAGGGCCACAATGTGTTGACACCGATTGACCCGTATTGCTTTGCCATATGTTGTACCGATTTTCTGCAGTGACTCTGGTGGTGAGATGTAGTAGGCGAGGCCGCCCACAGGCACCGAGTGACCCATTTGGTCCATATCCTGACAGAAGCGGGCAAACAGCCATCGGTTGATGGTTCCTGCACCACATGTCTTCCGGACCTGCCACTGTCCTAGCAGATTGACGAGCATGTTGGACTTGAACCGACGATACAGCAGTTGCGAGAAGAAGTACAAATTCGACACCTACATGCACGTACACGTTTCCACATATGTTCCCCTTCCCCTCCCTCTCTCTCCCTCCTTCCTCTGCGTGTGAAGGTGTGTGTCGCCCATTCGACCAGTGCCGTTTGGAGGATGATAGGAATGTTTGAGGTGTAGAACAGCTTGATGGGGTAGGACCCCTGCTGCCCGCGGACCTTCTGGTACTTGACAGCCAGGTCCACACGGAACCCCTGGAAGTAGATGACTATCAGAAACACCAACACTGTCGCCAACAGATTCGTCACGTTGGGAGCATTGCTGCGGTAGAAGGCCTGCAACGAAGACATGGGGCGAGAGGATGCGACTTGGCGGCATGTGCGCACGAGTGCCTTGGTTTTGGTTCACCTCTCTGACAGCTGCCACTTTGTTTTCCTTGGTGACGAGCAGGTGGAAAAGCGCTATGACGGCGCCCTCAAACTCTGTGCCTTTGCCCGTGTTGATCGTAGTGGGGCTGAACGCCTGCACATGGTACCATACACACAACATACGTGTGCACCTTGCGCGCCTGAGCGCGCGCAGCTGCGCTCACCTTCCAGACGATGGACTCGCAAATGTTGGTTGCGATGAATAAAGAGATGCCGCTGCCCAGCCCATAGCCTTTCTGGAGGAGTTCATCCAGGATGATGACGATCAGCCCCGCGAAGAAGAGCTGCAGGATGATCAGAATGGCGTTGCCCGCGCCCAGCTCCTTGAGGTCGCCATACATCCCGCTGACCACATACGCTATCGCCTCGCCAATCGTTATCAGCATTCCGAACACTGAAAACAATGAACCCAAAGGCATTGAGTCGTGCGTGTTTGATGTCCCCGTGGGTGCGTGCGTCCGTACGTTTCTGTGCTCCACTGAAGAGTGCCCTGTCTTCCTTGAGGCTCTGATCGACGTCGATGATTTTGCTGCCGGCGAGGAGCTGCATGACCATGCCACTGGTGACGATTGGGCTGATGCCGAGTTCCATGAGGGTGCCCCTGTTGCTGGCCAGAATGACCCTCATCCAGTAAAAAGGGTCGGCTGACTTGGACGTCATGATGCCGTAGAGGGGGATCTGGCAGCACACCAGAAAGATGAACAGCGAGATGGCCGTCCACAAGATCTTCTCCTTGAACGGAATCTGAATGGTAATGGAAGGAGCCAGAGTGTCGCACGCAGAGGATGGTTTTCTGCTATCGGCATTGTCAGTTACCTTCCTGTCGGGTGTGCTGACTTCGGGCAGCACACACATGACAGGCTTGATCAGATTCAAGAACCGAACTGAGTGACGGGGAGAACAGCAAGAGAGCCACACACACTAGCGTTGTCCTCATGGGTCTGGGCTGTGTTTCTCTTGTGCACCTGGGCCTCACTTCATCTTGTTGGCGCTTACATTTGCCGGACATAGTTTTTTCTTCTTGTCGTCTTTCCTCGTACTTCCTTGGGACGGCTGCTGCCTCACTGTGTTACTCGCGCTCTCTTGGGGGAAACTTCAAACCCTAGACCCCTCAAACCCTTCGGGCTGTGAGAGGTCGAACCGCCCAAAAGGAAAAACCTCGCGCTCCACCAGAAAGGCGTACAACAGATGCAGAAGATGCGGCGCGAGGAGATGATTGAAAAGCGGAAATCCTTTTTCGTGTTCGGGTAGGCGTGAAACAAACACAGAAAAGGTAAGGCGGGACGAACCGTGTGTAACCACGCCTCCCCCGCGGCAACCCACGGCACTAATTGAACAACGAGACTCCTGCGAACGCACGGCCGCCGAAGGCGGCCGCCCACGCGATCTTGTCCAGTATAAGTAGTTCAGGCGGGACAGAAAGCAGAAGGCTATTTGCAGACGGTGAAACGGCAAGGTCAACACGTATACACAGTGGTCAAGCGAGATACCAAGCACAAAGAGCCTTCACGGAACGCCCTATGCGTTTCAAGCCGTTCGATGACGATGATGTGCCCGACGACTTCATACTGCCACCTGTTGAGCAAGCAGACATTGCGAGAGGGGCGCTCATATTCGTAAGCAGACAGTGATGATAGGCTGCTGTATTGTCACTCTGGGCGTTACCTTGTTTTCCCATCTCTTGTGCCTGCTGTCGCTGCTGTCGCAGAAACTCAAGTGTGCGCAGTGCCACACCATCAGGAAAGACGGCCGCGTCTCGGCCGGACGGGGGAAAATAGGTAGGCATATATATCATGGTATCATTGCACGCGCCTCTGCATTCCCCTGTTGCAGGACCGTCGCTGTACGGTGTCTACGGTAGAACAGCGGGCAACGATCGTAGAGCAGTGCTGGGGCCATCCAAGACCATGCGAGAATCTGGGCTGCTCTGGACCGACATCAATCTCATGCGCTACTTGTAGGAACCAACCAGAGACCCCATTGTTCACAACCCAATCTGATTCGCGATTCAGGCGGAACCCGCGGTGGTTCACGTTGGAGGGCACCTCGGAGGGCACGTCAATGAACTTCAGAGGTATCACATCAACTTGAGCACTTCCCTGTGCCTGAACCGAACACTTCTCACCGTATTGTGCGCTGTCCTGTGCGCATGTGTGCGCAGGTATTGATGATTGGCAGGAGCGCATCGACCTCATATGGTGCGTCAATACTAGAGATCAACAGAGCCATGCATCGACCTGAATGCATCTACGGGCCGCTCTCTTAGGTACCTGAAGGCGGCGGGCCACGAGGGCTGGCTGCAGGAGGGTGCCGACAGCAGCAAAGCAGGTCAACAAGACATGTAACAGAGTGGAACAGACATAGCTTCGCTCTTGAATGTGCACACACAGATGAGCCTCAGTTGCTGTCGTTGATCGCTCGAGACGTGCGCAGGCTTCTGGCGAGTCGCCTGGGGAGTCGCTTCGGCTGGTCTGACGCGGTTGAGCCAGACTCGTCGGCCGACGTCCTTCGGGCAGAAGAGCCACCAATTCCACTGCGAAGCGAGTCGCCATCGACACAGCCGCAGACACCGTCTGCAACGACCAACACGACGAGCAAGACGAAGAAGAAGAAGAAGGCACAGCAGCCGACGCCTCCGTCCCGAGACGAGGATTACAACTTCCACGGCACTGCAGTTGACGAGAACAATCTGCAGCCTGTATTGATATAGACCATTGAATCAAGCACAAGTGCTCAATGATATGTATGCACAGCCCAGTGTATCAACAGCGAGCGTCAGTGTATCAACAGCGAGCGTCTGTACAATTCATCAACACGGATGGAAAATGGGAATGGCGGGGGTGTGTTTTAGCCGCAGTTCGTGCGTCCCTCTGTCGATGGAACTGCGTTTCAGGCAAAGCCGATCTAGGGGTGAGGGCGGGGAGTACTCGTATGTACTCGTGTGTTTTTCATTCGCTTGCATGCTAACGCTCATGTAAAGGTCATGTTTGGTGACGGGTGCCTGCCCGCGGTTTCTTCCTTGTTTGTGCAGTGAGGAGGCTGGGCTCTCGATAAGGGCGGTGTACACATTTTGTCGGACGCAGTGTCATGTGTCTGCATTGTGTGCTTTTGTGGACGTGTGCTGCGCGAGGACAGTACGAATGCGACGATGAACCGCTCTCAGAGGAAAGTGTGTTCTCAACGCCCATTCGCTAGAAATCGACAACTTCCATCCATGTCTTCGTTTCTCATGTTTCACGAGTATTGTGCTGCGACCAGTCCACTTGCATGTAACAGACACCCTCTGGTCATCTGTTTTTCCATGGGAAAGCGTCTCTGCTCTCTGTGTGCGTGTGTTTCTTTTCCATAATGAGCGCATGAATGCACAGAGCAGTGCATTCACAGCGAGCTGTTGGGGGGTTTAGAATACATGAACGGGCGACGACGTTCGTCTAAGCATCACTTCGTATCAAGCCATCTAGGGGGAACAATACATGCAAAGACAATGGACAACGCTCATAGACTGCAAACAAATGCATCACTTGACACTGCAAACAAGCGCGAGACATGCACCACAACGGACACACACGGGACACACTTTGCATCCAAATCCAGCCAGCCACCTCACCGAAGCGGGGCTGGTGTGTGGAGTCACTGTGGACTGTATGGCCCGCGGCTGACGAAGTCCTCCGGAAACGCGCTGGCTCTCCGCGTCGGACTCGCCACTGTCCATTTGGTGGTGGTTAAGGGTAAGATTGTCCGTGTGTCCATGCGCTGGGACGGTCGATTACATGTTCGCATCCAAACTATTGACAGCAACGATCAAAGCATTCGCTACCTACCCAGGCACACCCACCCACCCACCCCCTGCAATCAACGAGGGTGGAAAGGCCCCCGCTCTAGCAACAGCCCCTCAGGAAAACCCGCCCTCTCCTGCCCATTCCACCTGCTTGCCCGCCACGCCCTGCTCCGCACCATGTGTGCGTTGCCCTTCTGCAGCAGCACACTAAGTCGAGCCCACCACCTCTCCACTGCTGTCTCACGGAAAAACTCCACATCGCCCTCCTCCATGTAGACGGGTGGCCGCATGTGCCGGGCCATACGGTTGAGAAGGGCAGCCGCCTCGTCCTTCCACCGTCCGTAGCTCTCCGCCGACAGTGGGACGATGGTGAAGTTGCTTGCTCTCGCCTCTGTGCCGTACTTTTCTGTAGCTGATTCCGTTTGCGGTTCTGCTCGGACACTTCAAGACAAGTCAAGACGTCATTTGCCGTCCCGTTGCGTGTGCTCCAGCAGATCTCGAGGTGGCTCTTCCGATCTCAAGCACGCTCCCAACCATCATTCACGAGGCAGTCAGAGTCAGCGCATCACTGAGTAAAGCCAATGGGCGCTTCTACGGAAGGGAATCTCTCCCAACCAACCTCACTGACTCGCCTTGCTTCAGTGTGTCAAGCTGAATAGCTTGGAAGCGAACAGGAAAGAACGGCTAGCAGCAAACACTGACTCGCCTTGCTTCAGTGTGTCAAGCTGAATAGCTTGGAAGCGAACAGGAAAGAACGGCTAGCAGCAAATCCTGATCGGACGCTTCTTGCCCACTGGGCGAGCCACAGCAAAAACGTCAGGCCCGGTTGCATTCATGTACACAGCAAGCAAGCAAAGATGAGAGAGACAGTGAGTCGATGCTAGCTGACAAGACAATCAGACACGCGTTCTTCCCCAGATGGGTGCTCTCTGTCTGCCTTCTCAATACCAACGCACAACCTCTCCCATCCCCATTCATTCACTGTGACGCACAGACATAGTCAGCCACCATGTCGTGTAAAGACAGACACGCTCCTCTTCTCGTTTCTGCTTCTTCACTCCTCTTCTCGTCTCTGCATCTTCTCCACTTCTCGGCTCTGCTTGTTCGGTCATGACGTGCTGGTCATTCGCTGCCGTGTCGAGCTGCTCCTTGTCGTGCCCATCCCGATGCAGCAAAGCACGAAGGTAGAGGGAAGGGGAAAGAGTAACATATGTCGAACAGCTCCTCGTCGTCAGCACGTCCACATCACCAAGTCGTCGTCCATCATGCCCACCATCTCCGCTCTTCACCATCACAGATACACCATCAACTCGACCCCGACACAGAAGCGGTAATATGGCCGAGTGCAGCTTTTCTGTAGCTGATTCCGTTGCGGTTCTGCTCGGACACTTCAAGACAAGTCAAGACGTCATTTGCCGTCCCGTTGCGTGTGCTCCAGCAGATCTCGAGGTGGCTCTTCCGATCTCAAGCACGCTCCCAACCATCATTCACGAGGCAGTCAGAGTCAGCGCATCAGTGAGTAAAGCCAATGGGCGCGCGGTGAGCGCTTCTACCGAAGGGAATCTCTACCAACCAACCTCACTGACTCGCCTTGCTTCAGTGTGTCAAGCTGAATAGCTTGGAAGCGAACAGGAAAGAACGGCTAGCAGCAAACCCTGATCGGACGCTTCTTGCCCACTGGGCGAGCCACAGCAAAAACGTCAGGCCCGGTTGCATTCATTGCTGTGCTTCCTGTCGGCCGCGTTGTGCAGCGCCTTGCCGTCTTCTGCTCCGTTCTGTCTGTTGGTGGCCGCGTGGTGTCTGTTGGTGAAGGGATCGGGGCGTGTGGGGTGGGCGATGGTGACGTCGCCGAGCATGCCTTTTTCCTCCTCCACCCAGTAGAGGTCGATCCGTTTGCCGTCTGGATCGTTGGTGGCCGGGTAGACGCCCAGATGCGCCAGGTTGACCTCTCGGTCGACGGCGATCTGGACGCTTCTGATGATGCGTCGCCACTCCTTGCACAGCAGGTCGTGCCGCCAGATGCGCTCATTGCCTGTGCCGCAGCAGAGGAGGTGGTCGCCGTAGGGGTCCAGCTGGGTGCCGCACGAGCAGAAGTCCGATGCGAGTGAAGGGTGTTGGGTGGCGCCGATCCTCAGACGGCAGCAAGTGACGAAATCCTCGTTGGTGAAGCGCAGGCCCGAGTGCGCCGGGACCGTCGTCAGCCAGCCGCTAGCTCCTGGGCCTCGACAGCTCCTCAGCCGTGCGCGGCCTCTTGACTCCTCGCCGAACTCGTCCAGCAGGGCGTCTGCTTCAATGCACATCAGGCCGGCCGTCAGATCGTGTTGTAGCCGTGGCTTTGTGCGTCCCTCGAGCAGCTTGGCCAGTGTGGGCACCTCCGTCTCCGGCAGCTTCTCTAGTAGCTTCTCTTTTGCCGACTCCGCTGCCCGTAGCCATGGCAGCTGCAGTGTTGCTGCCGATCCGTCCTCCCCTCCCTCCCCCCCTCCCTCCCCCCCTCCCT